TTGTCTCACTGTCTTGTTCATTGCATTATTCGCTATACAAGGCACTTACACATAAAGGCATACAATACTACTACGATTGTATTGTGAATACTAATGAATATGAATGAATACTGTAATTATCGATATTACAATCAAGAGAGTATGGAAAGTACAATACAATGTATAGCGAATAATGCAATGAACAAGACAGTGAGACAAAGTGAGAAACCTAGTATAAATGAGAGAGTTAGAATAAGAAATGCTATAAGATAAAGTGAGGATGCTCTATGCTCTAATGCTGAATGCTCTGAACCCCCCATGCTCTGAAGACCCGCATGCTCTGAGGAAAGGGAAGAAAATGGCTGTGGACGCTCCCACCCCTCCTTTTATACCCAGCTCTCGGCAGCTCGGGTTATCTATGCTCTGATCTAGTGAGGAACGCGTGAGAAGCGTCCTACAGACATAAACATTCTCACTGTACGATTGCAACCCTGCCTCACTGTATGCTCTGGTCACCTCAGTGACACCAGTTACACCCTCCGACCTTACGGTAGATCAAAACTTACAGAGGTCGAGGAAAGGCGCGAGTTCGCGGGTCACAGCCACACACTCCTCCTTTCTATTCATTTTAGGGTCCTTGGCAGTGATCCAAAATGCCTCCAATGTCTTACGCGCCGTGATCTCGGCTCCTGCGCTAAGATGACCACCGAGACGTCAAATGACGTGCCTCCATGGTGTTCAACTCGATGAGCTCCGAGTGGAGTCTGGACCCTAGATCTACTGAGCCCCTCCAGATGTTCTTTAACCCGCACACGAAGGGGGCGCCCTGTTTCACCTATGTACTCACTGCCACAATTCTGGCAGTGTATCGAGTAGATAACTGCCGACTTCATGCAGTCGCCCGGTCTGCCGAAGGGACATACAACACAATCAGGGGTGTCGCATAAGGTGTCATAAAGCCGGTTGCGAATAAGGTGACGTTTTAAGTTACAGGGGGTTATTTCCACAATACTAATATCGTCCTGGAGATTGCATCGTGATCGCCTTTCCTCGACCTCTGTAAGTTTTGGTCTAACGTGAGGTTGGAGGATGTAACTGGTGATGATTAATCCGCATTCAAGTCGTCCTCAGAAGTCGTCCTCAGGGTGGTCGAGCCCGCACTGCGGCGTCTAGATCAAGGTGAGCCACAACACTATCGATCGATACCGTTGGGTCGTTTTACTAGTTTAGTGAAATTGTCTTGAGAATTGTTGAGGCGTTTCAGCGGGCAGGTCTCATGTGTTTTTTGTCCATTTCAGGCTCTGACGAAGGCGAAGACGCCGAAACGTTGGCCTAATAAAGCATTTCAATCTTGTCGAGGCTCGAAGACAAACTACATCGAATATCATCATGCCAAGATTGCAAGAAAGTCGAACATGGACTATCCTAAGAAGTAAATGTTGGGTTCTTTTGCAACTGCACTACGTAACTGGGAACATGTGAATAGCAACTCATCATTCAAACGGCATATACAGGGGGGGGGCAAAAAAAAGTCATTTCGGCCGAGCCACATATCAACGAAGTTTTCGCAGCCCAGACAGGGGAAGTGGATATGAGTACCAGAGTGGAAGATACCCAAGATCTTCCTCTATAAGCTGGAGCACGGCTGCCGCCAATCGCCTTCATGTACGCCAAAATATGAAGTCATCTCCAGTCGCGGCCTGACTGGAGAACACCTTTGGAATTCACGTCGCCTCCAAACAGCTGCGAAACTTCTTGAATGAAGTCATCCACAGATAG